TTGTTTGGTGGGCAATGCTATGACTATGGTCTAAGACAGCCAAGCCATCATATTAAGTATAGAAGGTCTCAACTGAAGTCCCTGACATCACAAAAGAATTGCTGAGTTTTAATGACTGCACATATTATGTGCTTTTTAAAGCTACTCTTTATTTTGTTGATAAATGTAAGGTTATGCACTTGGGGGCTAAGAATATGTATGCATCATACATACTAGGGGGGTACAACTGGGGGAATCAATGGTGGAGAAGAATCTGGGAGTTCTGATAGATCACAAGTTTAATAATGGCATGCAATGCCAAGCTGCGGTTTCTAAAGCAAGCAAATCCTCCCTTGTTTTGAAAGAGGTATAGACTTGAGAGAGAGAGATCGTATTACCCCTGTACAAATCCTTAGTAAGACCTTATCTGGAATATGCAGTTCAGTTTTGGGCACCAATTCACAAAAAGAACATTGGAGAACTGGAGAAAGTACAGAGAAGGGCAACTAAACTGATAAGAGGCATGGAGGAGCTCAGCTATGAGGAAAGATTCTAGGAACTGAATTTATTCTCTCTTCAGAAGAGGAGATTAAGGGGGGATATGATCAACATGTGGTTCATATAGTGAACTTGGCGTAGAGCTATTCACCCTGAGGTCATCACAGAGGACAAGGAGGCACTCTTTACATCTGGAGGAAAAGAAATGTAATCTCCAAACACAGAAAGGTTTCTTCACAGTGAGAGCTGTGAAAATGTGGAATAGACTCCCTCAAGAGTTGGTTCTGGCCAGCTCAGTGGATTGCTTCAAAAAAGGCCTGGATTGTTTCTTAGATACAGAATATAACTGGATACTAACATTTATAGGTAACATTGATCCAGGGAATATCCGATTGTCTCTCGGGGGATCAGGAAGGAAGTTTTTTCCTAGCAGGAGCAAATTGGATCATGCTTTGCTGGGGTTTTTTTTTTTGCATTCCTCTGGATCAACTGTGGGTATAGGACTATAACTTTTTTTTTTTCTATGGTTGAACTGGATGGACGTTGGTCTTTTTTCAATCAGACTATGTAATATCTTATGCATCTCAGCATTACATAATTTTGACAAATGTAAAGCATATATAAACCCAACAGCAAATATATAATATATTGCAGCTTACCAATCTCCAAATGTGGTTGTATTGGGGTTCTTTTTTAAGTCTTATTTATTTTATTTTCATTGGGTGATTTGGCCAGTAAGTCTGCTGTTTTTCAACTTCCTTTACAGACCAAGTTGTCCAGCAAAGTTCTGGCAGCTATAGGGTTGAGGGAAAATTGGTAAATTTTATTCACTTATTTAAAATCTTTATTCAAGAAGAAAAAAAAAACTGTTGCTATAACTCCTACCCCCTTTATGCTGGCCAGAGGCAGAGCGTTAACCGCTTCCCACCCGGCCACTGTACATAAATGGCCGGGTGGAAGCTTTGCCGTTCTGACTGGATGTACCCATACTTCCCATCTAAATGTGAGCTGCACAGTGGTGCAATCCTGTGATAGCTGTGCACCCCTCAGACAGAGCACATCACAGATTGGGACATGGCTGCTGTGATTGGTCCTTACGATCATGCGATGGATGTGTCCAATGACAGCTATCACACAGTGTAAACAGAGACATGCGTCTCTGTGTCGGCTCTCATGCTGAGCTCAGTAAGGGGAGAGAAGGGGGATTGCTGCATCCTGTCACATTCTGTGTGTAGCTGAGGATTTTACTGTTCAGCTACACGCAGATCCCACTGCAACCATCCCACACGTAGGATATTGTAATTTTAAATATATACTCTATATATATATATATATATATATATATATATATATATATATAGTGCCTATTCTCCTTACCTTTGTTATGTTGGGCTAAACCTGTTTTTGGATACAGTATGTGGAAAGTCAGGGGGAGTTTCAGAGCAGACTATTTGCAAATCTACCGGCATTGTAAAATACAAGCTTATCTGGTTAGATTTTGAAAGGTCTTAAATATTCATGAGGCCCTTGTTTATGAGAATTAGCTCTTTTAAAGAGGTAGAGTCGTACCTATGCAAAAAGGTAAAAACATGCAATTTCCCCTTAAACAGTAAGAGATGTACATGGTAAATGGGTTTAAGGCGTCTTAAAAATGTATAATGTACTGGTTTATGGTGAAGATTATATCAAATGTGGGTATCTTGTCCACCTTGTACAAAGATGTTAAAGATTGCAGTTTAGCCATAAACAAGACAAGGAGTATCTATTTAACATCTTAATCTTTGCATGCAGTTTAGCCATAAACAAGACAAAGTATCTATTTAACCTTTTAATCTATCCAAAAACAGGTTAGCCCAACATAACAAAGGTAAGGTAATTACCTTGTGCATAAATTAACATAGTAAGGAGTCCTTGGCCAAGAATGTGAATATGCACTATATACAGCGGGGATCGAAAGTTTGGGCACCCCAGCTAAACATTTGTATTAATGTGCATAAAGAAGCCAAGGAAAGATGGAAAAATCTCCAAAAGGCATCAAATTACAGATTAGACATTCTTATAATACGTCAACAAAAGTTAGATTTTATTTCCATCATTTACACTTTCAAAATAACAGAAAACAAAAAATGGCGTCTGCAAAAGTTTGGGCACCCTGCAGAGTTAATATCTTGTACTGCCCCCTTTGGCAAGTATCACAGCTTGTAAATGCTTTTTGTAGCCAGCCAAGAGTCTTTCAATTCTTGTTTGAGGTATCTTTGCCCATTCTTCCTTACAAAAGTCTTCCAGTTCTTTGAGATTTCTGGGCTGTCTGTCACGCACTGCTCTTTTAAGGTCTATCCATAGATTTTTAATTATGTTGAGGTCAGGAGATTGTGAAGGCCATGGCAAAACCTTCAGTTTACGCCTCTTGTTGTAATCCCCCGTGGATTTCGAGGTGTGTTTAGGATCATTATCCATTTGTAGAAGCCATCCTCTCTTTAACTTCAGCTTTTTCACAGATGGCATCAAGTTACCATCCAAAATTTGCTGAAATTTTATTGAATCCATTTTTCCTGTGCCACTGGCTGCAACACAACCCCAAAGCATGATTGATCCAACCCCATGCTTAACAGTTGGACAGAGGTTCTTTTCATTAAATTCTGTGCCCCTTCTTCTCCAAACGTACCTTTGTTCATTCCGGCCAAAAAGTTCAATTTTAACCTCATCGGTCCACAGAACTTGTTTCCAAAATGCATCAGGCTTGTCTATATGTTCATTTGCAAAGTTCAAACGATGATTTTTGTGGTGAGGACGTAGAAGGGGTTTTCTTCTGATGACTCTTCCTTGAAGACCATATTTGTACAAGTATCTCTTTATAGTGGAATAGTGTACCACAACTGCAGTGTCTGCCAGATCTTTCTGGAGGGATCGTGCAGTCAAACATGGGTTTTGAATTGTTTTTCTCACAATCCTGCAAGCTGTTCTGTCTGATATTTTTCTTGGTCTTCCAGATCTTGCTTTAACTTCCACTGTTCCTGATGACTGCCATTTCTTAATTACATTCCGAACAGAGGATATTGACATCTGAAAACGCTTTGCTATCTTCTTATAGCCTTCTCCAGCTTTGTGAGCGTCAACTATTTTCAGTTTCAGTTTTCTAGACAACTGCTTAGAAGAACCCATGGTGCTGATTGCTGGGGCAAGTTCAGATGAGTCTGGGCATTTAAAACCTTTGAGATTGACATCACCTGGTCTTCCCAGACGATGATTGAGAACAATCCATGACACTGGCAGGTCTCAGCTTGGCAAAGGGGGCAGTGCATGCTATAAATTCTGCAGGGTGCCCAAACTTTTGCAGACGCCATTTTTTTGTTTTCTGTTATTTTGAAAGTGTAAATGATGGAAATAAAATCTAACTTTTGTTGACATATTATAAGATGTCTAATCTGTAATTTGATGCCTTTTGGAGATTTTTCCATCTTTCCTTGGCTTCTTTATGCACATTAATACAAATTTTTAGCTGGGGTGCCCAATCTTTCGATCCCCACTGTGTATATATATATATATATATATATATATATATATATATATATATATATATATATATATATATATATATATACACACACACACACACATACATACACACATACATACACACATACATACATACATATATATATATACACATACAATATCCTACAATTGTCCCAGTAACATTTGCACCAGTGTACCATCAACATCTGTACCAGAGCACAAAACCTCTGTCAGTGTACTAATGTCCCATCAACATCTGTCACAGTGTACCAGAGCACAAAAACATCTGCAATAGTGTTCCATTGCAACAACATCATCTGTCAGCGTCCCATTGCAACATTAGTCAGTGTCCACCAGTGGATGATCAACATCTGTCACAGTGTACAAATGCACAAAAATACCTGTCAACTTACCAGGATCCCACCAACGAATTAACAAATTATAGCACCCCGATCCCCTGTGCTTGTGTGCAAAGGCGAATGCATGAGTTAGTTCCATACTTATATGTAAACAGCGATAACACTACACATGTGAGGTATTGCCAGGAGTGAGATCATCTTCTGTAACTCTAAACTGGTAAGGCTTACAAAGCATTGCCTATGGATTTTTAAGTATTGAAGTTTGGCTCCATTTCACAAGTGTGCACTATTTTAACCACTAGCCTACAGGGCACTTATACCCCCTTCCTGCCCAGGCCAATTTCCAGCTTTCAGCGCTGTCACACTTTGAATGACAATTGCGTGGTCATGCAACACTGTACCCATATGAAATTTTTATCATTTTTTTGTGACAGATACAGCTTTATTTTGGTGGTATTTAATCACCTCTGGGTTTTTATTTTTTCTTAAACAAACCAAAAACCACAGAAAATTTTTTTAAAAAAAGGTTTTTCTTAGTTTTTGTTATAAAATTTTGTAAATAAGTGATTTTTCTTATTCTTTGATGTGCGCTAATGAGGCTGTGGTGATGGGCACTGATAGGCTGCACTCATGGACACTGATAGGTGGCACTGATGGGCACTGATGAGGAGGCACTGGTAGGGGCACTGATGGGGCATTGACAGGCATCACTGATGGGCACTGAAAGTCAGCACTCATATATGGCACGGATAGGCGGCACTGACTGGCACTGTTAGGTGGCACTGACTGGCACTGATAGGCGACACTGATGCACACTGATAGGTGGCACTGACTGGCACTGATGGGTGACACTGAAAGGCAGATCAGATGGGCACTGATATGTTCATTGATGTGGCACTGATGGGCACTGGCAGGTGGCATGGATGAGCACTGATTGACACTGACAGGTGGCACTGCTGGGGCTACACAGATCATGAGGGCACACTAATCATCAGTGCTCTGATGATCTGTGTACATGTCCCCTCCGAGGAATGCTGATTACCGTCTCTCCTCTCCTCACGAGCTCGTGAGGAGAGAAATACAGATAACACTGTTCAACAGGTAAAAAGTTTTTTTGGGCATAAAATTAGCTAATCTTACATAATTTTGGGGTGCTGAAAATGAAAATGACCCTAAAAAATGTTGATTGGCTCTAGTTTCCATGATATATTCACCCATGTAATGACGTAAGCCATTCAAAATCATGATGCAACTTCAGCTGCATATTGCGCAATTGATACTGGTGACCAATAGAAAATTGCATGTATACTGAGATGATGCAATATTAGCCTTTAATTTCATCACTTCACTGCATAAAAGCTGCAGTATCTGTAGCTGATTGTAGTTCGACAGCGTCTTTACATTTCGTTTTATGCTTATATAGGCTACTCAGTAATGCCTCGAACTTGTGTGAATAAAGCAGATCATTTCTGCTATATCTGCGGTGAAATCACTTTTATCTCACAAAAAAGGAGGATAACAGGAATGATTAAGAAAGCCTACAACTTGTATTTTGGCTGCAAGATAGGAGACGAGGACAAGAGCTGGGCACCACATATATGCTGCAATTCTTGTGGGGCGGCACTGGAGCAATGGTTGAATGGAAAAAAGGCATCTATGCCTTTCGCTGTGCCAATGATTTGGAGAGAGCCAACAGATCATGTTAGTAATTGTTACTTTTGTATGGTGCCTCCAATTGTAAAAGGGCTAAATAAGAAGAAAAGGTTATCTGTGCACTATCCAAATATTCCATCGGCAATACGTCCAGTTCCTCATGGAGAGGGGCTACCAATTCCTAAAGCACCAGAATCCTTCGTGGTTGAGTCAAGTGAGGAAGAACCTGAAGCGTGTAGTCACGTGCAGTTGTAAGAGATAGCCCTTTCCTCGAATACAAGAGAAAAGCCAAGAGAAGCAAAACCGACACAAACTGAAGACAAAACTAGTGAGAATCTAAGTATTAAAATGATTCAACTTAGCTTATGGCTATAATTTTTCTTGTTAATCCTATGCAATATATTATGCCATTTAGGCTTTGTTATGTAGTCAATATCACTTGCTTTATATTTGTGGAAAGACATCTATCTGTATAATTATTGTGCATTATGTAGTCATTACGCCTATAGTAGAAAACTTTCCGTTTACAGAAAAACTAGAGCCAATTGACAAATTTCATTGTTATATTTGAACTCAGAATGTGAAATTCATTAAGAAATGAATCCTTTTGTTTCCAAAACTGTCAAAAAATAAAAATTTGTTGAACAGTGTAACCGGCATTTCCCTGTTTGATTGGACACAGCTGATCACATGACCGAGCTGACATATTCGGCTCTTTCCATTGATCGGTGATCCGCTGTGTCTGAGGGACACAGCGCACTGATCGCCGCGCTGCGCACTCCGGGAGCCGCGCATGAGCGGTTAGAATGGGAGGACGTCATATGACGTCCTCCCAGAATGAGAGAACTGACTTCGCCCGTTATTGTACTATATGGTGGGCGGGAGGCGGTTAAAGCACGACATGTTTGATATCGGTTTACTTGGTTAGTATAGTTTCTTGTATGCAGGAGGTTTTGTTAATTTTCTTTTTTATTTCGTTTTTTTTATGTTTTCAAATTTTTGCTTGCTTCTCTGGGTAATTACTCTACAATTCCTGTACAATTTATGGGTCCTTTCATGTATGTAATAATGCTCCTACTTATATGGTATGATGGTTATGTAACTGTCGAATTTGTCTCTGTCTTGGTCTGACTGGCATTTTTCAATAATGCTCAAGTTAAAAAATTTCAGAAGAAAGCCTGGTGTTAAAATGGATAATGCCTGAAGGTGCTCCTTGGATGTTGGGCCTATCTATATGGCTAGGCTGTAACAAAAAATAAATAAAAATGTGGTATCACTATACTTAGGAGTAGCAGAATGTGTTTTGGAGGTGTAGTTGCAATTATGCCTATGTCATGTGTATGGGCTATGGAAATACAGTACCTTGTGGTGCTGCTCCAAGCTGGAAATCACCCTGCTGGCAAAGGAATGGGAACAGGTGTCCTGAAGCGATTCCCTGAGTGGCTAATCAAGTGAGGTGGACACCACTCAACCAGCTCCAGGAGTCAGATGTGTAGATGGCTTGGCCTCTTTCATTGTTCTGGCCATGCCCTCTAAATTTTGCCCCACCCACCGGGGGCTTGATCACAGAGGGGCTTGTGCCTCTGATCAAGCCCCGGTGGGCAGGGTGAAACTTCAGAGGGCATGACCAGAGAGATGGCTGAGGCCAAGTCATCTACACATCTGACTCCTGGGGATGGATGATCAGCATCCACCTTCTCACTTGATTAGCCACTCTATAAATAACTTAATATTACATTTTTGTGGTAAAAAAAACTAATGTTATGTAATTTCCTAATTTTCCAAAGAATTTTGGGGAAAAATTACAACTGCAAAAAAATCACCATGCCTCTTACTAAATACTGTGGACTGTCTACTTTCAAAACAGGGGTCATTTGGGGGGTATTTGTACTGTCTTGGCATGTTAGGACCTTAAGAAATGAGATAGGCAGTGAATACAACTGTGATAAATTTTCAATGATAGGTACCATAGCTTTTAGACTCTATAACTTGCACACAGACCAAATAATATGCATTGATTTGAGTTATTTAACCAAAGAAATGCAGCAGTATAAATTTTTGGTCAAACTTTATCAAGAAAAATTACTTATTTACAAAATTTATAGCACAAAAAACAAACCCAGTGGTGATTAAATACCACCACCAAAAGAAAGCTCTATTTGTCAAAAAAAATTATAAAAATTTCATATGGGTACAGTGTTGAAGGACTGAGTAACTGTCATTTAAACTAGATTGTAAGCTCCAAGGAGCAGGGCCCTCTAATCCCTCTTGTATTGAACTGTATTGTTACTGTACTGTCTCCCTCCATAATGTAAAGCGCTGAGCAAACTGTTGGAGCTATATAAGTCCTGTATAATAATAATAAATTGCGACGCCACTGGGTTGGGGGGAGGGGCCTGAGCATGGCGCCATCAGGGTGCATGAAGTAAGTGCTCCTGAGAATAATGGAATAATGATCAGGAGAACCCAAGACACTTGGGGAATCTCTACCCTACCTTGTCCTGAGTGTGCCCGTTTGACGTGGTGCCATTGAGCGGGGTCCGGAGAGAGAAAAAGAACTGGTCAAAGGAGAGGCGGGTTCCAGCGGAGAGTGGAGAGGTGAACACTGGGAGAGGTCACATGCTCACAGCAGAGGAGCTCTGGGAGATGCTGGCCAGATATGAGAGGAATGGAGCCGGCACGATGAGGTCCGGAACTGACAGGATCTCATGGATCCCACGGAGGGTGACCCCCTCAATCTGGACCACCTTGGAACAGCCATGAGAGGAAGACAGAGAATTTGTGCAGTGCTTTGCACATCAGATAACAGCAGTGGTGGAACAGTGAAGACGGTGAAGGAGGAGAGGAGGTGGTGTGTGAGGTCCCACAGGAAGCTTTCCAAATCAGTTCATACAAATATAGATCTATAGGGGGAGGTGGTCGGTGGCAAATATTCTTAAAAGGAATCATATGAGGGGTCACCTAGTGGGTCCTCGTGGTGAATAGCTCTACACCGAGTACACTATATGAACCGCTGATGTATTTATACATGTTGATCATATACCCCCCTAATCTCCTCTTCTCAAGAGAGAATAAATTCAGTTCCTCGAATTTTCCCTCATAGCTGAAATTCTCCATGCCTCTTATCAGTTTGGTTGCCCTTCTCTGTACTTCCTCCAGTTCCCCAATGTTCTTTTTGTGAATTGGTGCCCAAAACTGAACTGCATATTCCAGATGAAGTCTTGCTAATGATTTGTACAGGGGTAATATGATATCTCTCTCTGTAGTCTATACCTCTTTTAATACAAGAGAGGATTTTGCTCGCTTTAGATACCGCAGCTTGGCATTGCATGCCATTATTAACTTGTGATCTACCAGAACTCCCAGATCCTTTCCCAACCATTGATTCCCACAGTTGTACTCCCCCTAGTATGTAACATGCATGCATATTCTTAGCCCCCATGTGCATAACCTTACATTTATCAACATTAAACCTCATTTGCCACATAGTTGCCCAAATAAACAGAGCACTGAGGTGGGCTTGTAAGTTGGAGACATCCTGTAAGGACGTTATTCCACTGCACAGCTTGGTGTCATCTGCAAACACTGAAATGGGATTTTTAATCTCAAACCCTATATCGTTTATAAATATATTAAAAAGTAAGGGCCCGAGGGCCCGAAAACTGAACCTTGGGGTACACCACTGAAAACCTTAGACCATGCAGAGTATGAATCATTAACCACTACTCTTTGAATGCGATCTTTTAGCCAGTTTTCTAACCATTTACATACAGATTTTTCCAAGCCCGTAGACTTAACCTTACACATTAGCTGTGTGTGGGGAATTGTGTCAAACGCTTTTGCAAAAGCCAAGTATACCACATCCACCACCACCCCTTTGTCCAAGGTTTTGCTCACCACCTAATACAAAGAAATCAGATTCATTTGACAACTTCTGTCTTTCATGAATCCATGCTGTCTGTTGCTTAAAATATTTTTTTCCAGCAAGAACTCATCTATGTGGTCTTTTATTAAACTCTCCAGTATCTTCCCAACTATAGAAGTTAAAGTAACAGGTATATAATTACTTGGTAAAGATGTTGACCCCCTTTTTAAATATTGGCACCACATTGGCCTTACACCAATCCAATGGTACTATGCCAGTTATTAAAGAGTCCCTAAAAATAAGAAACAATGGCTTTGAAATGACAGAGCTCAATTCTTTAAGGACCCATGAGTGTATGCCATCCGGTCCAGGTGCTTTATTCACCTTTATACTGTCTAAATATTTTTGGATCATATCAATTGTGAGCCAATGTGGATCATCTG